AGTTGAATGTCAGCGTCGCGCGAACGCTGGAGGAAGCCAGAGAGGAGCTCAAGTTCAGACTAGGAGACGTACTTCGAGGAACTGCTCTACATTTGTTAGGCGGCGCCTACGGCGTCGCACAAGCTGTTGCCGTGCGTATTGCATACCGGCCGGTACACTCGTGTCTGACATCGCCAAACAGGTTGCATTGTTCCTGCTCATCTCGCCTCTCCTCTTCGGGGCATTTGTCCGTCCCATTCTCCGGATGTTGGCGTTCCTTCCTCATGTACTCAGGCAACTCCTAGCGTCGCGCCGGAAGACGTCACCGGCACCTCCCTCCTCTAAGTCTACCCGGCACGTACGTTTCGAGCTTCCGCCTGCTCATATGTCTGTAGCTTCTAGGCGTTCTCCGGCGGCGTATAGGAGGGCTGTGTCGTTGCCGCCCGGAGTCTAGGCATTGTCGCTACTGGCCGCCTGCATGCCTGTCTTGCTCGCTTCCCCTCGCGACACGGCATGGATATGATATGGTGGCGGGGCCTCAACGGGAAAGCTGACGGTGAAAGTTGGCCCTTGCGCCAACTGGTTGAGCCAGACACGATGGACGGTGATTGCACCCGTATGCCGAGGCGGGGCGCCATGCAATGGGATCCGAGATGACGAACCCGTGCAGTAGATGGCAGCAACGCATAATGGTAGAGCTCCGCGTCTACGGGAGATATCTAACTCATATATACCCAGAGTATCGGTTAAAAAGGTTTCCGTATGTTGCCGAAGACGCTTCTGTGGCTGGGTCAAGACATAAAAATGCTCGCCGGCTGACGCAGGCTTGTCACATCGGGCGGGATAATAAGGATATGGCGGACAGAAGAGATTCAGTATATATGGAGGTACATGAATGGTCCTAGGAAGCCTACTGGGGAGGTGGTGGTGGTGGAGGCGATGGTGCTCGCGTGAAAGGCACCGGTGTGACTGAAGACGGTACTGTCTGAATCCGGCTGGGCAGTCCTTCCGTCGGTGCGACAGGCAACTCTGCGCCACAGCCTACTTCCCCACCCGCACGCTGTACCCATGCCTCCGGTGACCCTACTGGCACCTCTCTTACCCCCGCCTCCTACGCCCGCCCCAGTAGTTCTTTACCCACCAAACGTCTCGCACATTTGGACCTTGGTCCGTCAACGTGATCACGAGGATCAGCCTTCAACCGTCCCATCACCGGTCTCCGACCGATATTCGCAGCAACGGCCCGCTCTGCGGCAGCGGACTGACGAACGCCATCAATCTATGTCTAGAATGTAATTCATTGGTGGCTGAATATCTGTCATCACGGACTTGTTAACGGCCCTTCTTGACTTTCAACCACCTCACGCTTCACTCCTGAACAGCCAAACCTCATCGATCCGTGACGATGCAAGTGGCAACGAGACGGCGCCCATGAACTCTCCATCGACAACGCTGCTTCAAAGTCCAGCTAGTATGTCACCAGGCGCACCGAGCAGACAATCGCTTAGAAGTTCTACCCTGCCGCCGCGCGATAACATTCGTTTATTCGAACTCAAGGTCGCGCATTGACAACATATCGCCGAGCTCTTCGTGTCAAGCCCTTTCACGCCGCTATCCGCACCTACACCGCCAGCTACATATAACAACGTTGACCTCAGCAACACCGGCTCCATCCTTCGTAACCCGAAAGGACGGCGCCAACTCTCGAGCTATCATATAGCAGATCATGGCTCATCGATCGATACGGTTCACTGGATGCGCATTCGGCGAAGGTGGCGAACGTAGTGCCGTCAGCCACGGATTGTGCATTCATCGACGGCATTTGCCGAAGCTGGCGAACATGGTGCCGTTGCTCACCCGGGATCTGACACCTTTGAGAAGGTCCATCCACTCCGGGCGGCCATCCCGACAAAAGATCTGTCCCCGACGACGCGCGCAACTGGTTCCTCATCCGCTTCGAGCATAGTGAGGAGCCCTTGAATCTCAAATGGGCCATTGCAGACGATGGACGATAACATCCACGGATAAGTACACGGTACAGGCTACTTTAGGCGACACGAGCCTTCGATCCTGCCCTCGCATCATGTTTTTTTTTTGGGGGGGAACGCTTCTCCTTCGACCACCTTCGCGAGGCAAAGGTCCAGAAGGGCGCCCTCGCATCATGTTACCATCCTTCTCTGTTAGCGTGCCAGGGAGATGATATTTGCCAGCGCTCTGAGTCAGCATCGATGGGCAAACTCATCAGCGCTGTTAAAGTGGTTCAAGGTACCGCGATCTCTACCCTGACATTCTTCGTGAAGACACCAGGTTCGATATCTCTCGACTCACGAAGCCATACGATCAACTCATGCTTTCACGCGCGCATTCAAACGAACTCGTGGTCTTTGCGTGCACAGGGACGCGGCGATTCCGCATGCCAACGGAGCTCTTATACTCATTGGTTACCCTCTCCAACCTCACTGTGACACGGAAGGACACCTTGTCTAGCGCATAGGTGTTCCCCGTCATCATAAGCGTAGACTGTGAGCAGTATAACACGAACATTGCATTGGTTGACGTGGGGTATTTCGAGTCCACTGTCTGTCAGGGCGGTATAGGTGCATATTAAGTGCGCATCGCGTTCGGCTCAGTTAAAAGGCCCGATCACGATCTGAAGCGTGGGAAGTAGATGGCATGTAACACGTGCATCTGGCGAAAGTGACGAGCATGGCGTCGTTGCTGCCCATCTGCCGATCCCGTCGAGTAGGTCGCTCAGCGTGGCGAGAATGGCGCCGTTACTCGCCCGCGGCCCATCTGTCAATCCCGCCAACTAGCTCACGCATTTCGAAGGTGGCGAGCATGGCGAGACTGTTACTTGAGAAGTCTTGGACGACGTGCTCACGCTAAGGGCTCCGGTTGCGCAGGCTCGCCCGCACCAACAGGCATCCTCGTAGACTCAGCGCTCAAAACAGCACAGCAGCACTGCCATGACAGTTAAGGTCACATGGCCATGTTCAAGTCTGTTCAGCGTTCGTGTTAGCTTCGAGACTTCGACTACCACCCATAGCAGCAAGCTCCCTCATGGGACGCTTTAGTCTGAACGATGCTTCACATAAACGGCGTGCTCCGGATACACGCGGCACTGGCTTCCTGAACAACATTACTGGACCGAAGACTTCGGCGAGCACGTTCCTCGCGCCCCGGGCGCAAGCTTCACAGATCGGTGCCCCCTTCGCGTTTACGTTTGGCAGTGGGCTGGCGCTAGTGCAACATAGCACCCCCCGTGCATGGGCGCACGAGAGTCGGGGAGGAAGTTCGGCCATTTTGAGCGGCATCGAGGCTGGGATGGACGCACAGAAGCTCGCTGCAGCGTTTCAGACGCCGTTTCACGGTGTGGCGATAGACGACGCACAAGGCAGGTGCATGTCATAACGCTCTACCTTCACCGCCGTTAACCCATACATTAGTGGCTGGTGCACTGGCCACCAGCCCTCCCGAAGAACATGAGGATTTAAATGAAGCAGTCGCTGCTCCAACCGCAGAAGAACCAACTAAGCCGTCATTCACTGAAAAGATTAAATCGCTTCTGAAAGTACGTGGAATCAGGCGTTAGTTTGATGTTTGACATTCAGTGGTGTGTTTAGAAGGTTCCCCTTTTGTCTTGGAGGGACGACTGGAGCCAGCTCTTTCTCCACGAAGCTATTCGACACGACGGGCGCGCAGAAGCACTGGGTCTTACGAAATGCCCTGGTTGCAAGAAGGATGGATTCCCAGAGTATCGCTGCGAAGATTGTCGCTATGCGAACTACTGCAAAGAGTGTACCCTCTTCTGGCATCGGCACGTCCCGCTGCACAACCTTGAGGTATGTGAATGCATGCATAGGCGGTCCTATGCACTTGCTGACGTTCAGTAGCGTTGGAATGCTTCGGAGTTCTATGAGAGAGTATCCGGAGCCGAGGTTGGCATTCGTATTCAGCTTCTACATCCACCAGGCGAAGTGTGCAAGTTTCGCTCCCTCCATTCGGTCGAGAAATTTACCATAATACACACCAACGGCATCCACAAGATTCCGGTCGATTTCTGCAAGTGCGAGATTGGGAAGGACATTCCATACCACATTCAGCTGATGAGATGGCGTCTCTGGCCCGCAACCTGCGAGGATCCGCATACGGCAACGACCTTTGAGGCTCTAGACTGTTTCACGCGACTGTCAGCGTTCGGTCGACTGAACGTCTACGATTTCTATCGTGCACTGGAAGCCTCGACGAATGGCGCCATGCTACAACGTGTAGCGGTATGTTTTGGCCCGGTCATTTAGTAGTTTCTCTTACTGACACTCACATAGAACGTACGACAGCAACTGTCCAATTGCGTGCGTCAGTTTCGTCACATCATGATGTTCAAGCGAGCGGGTCGTGGCCATGAGCCGGGCGGCATCGCCGGAACCCCTCCTGGAGCCTGCGCAGTCCGATGCCCGGCTTGCCCCGATCTGAAGCTCAACATGAAGACATGTGTGCTGGGTCCATTGAAGTATGTGAACCGACACGCTTCAACCTGATGCTTCTTGTATTTACTGGACGGTAGATGGATAGGTCGCGCGTTCCTGGGTGTGGACGCGAACTTTCGACTGTCTAACAAGTTTACGTATGCGACAAAACAAACGGACCCAAGTCTTACCGACGGCAGAGCATATATGGCACCCTGGAAAGACTACGCGAAACATATACGTGCGACGAACAAGGAGTTGTCTGAAAAGGTGAGCTTGACTTTCATTCTCTTCACGAGTCACTCACCCAGCTCCTTTCTAGTCAACGTGCTCGAAGTTCTCGGCGCTCGAATTAGCCAACGTGAGAGGTGGGAGGGGCCAGCGTTCCACTGGCATTGCTGCTTGTTTATGTGTTCGCCATGAGTTCGTACAAACTCTTGGTGTGGCCCCTTTACGCAAGGGAGAACGGCAAGTTCTCAAAGTACATATGGTATCGACCGTTGGCTGATCCAAGACAGATATGAAACAGTGGACTGGGTGATTTGCGGGGCTCTCTCTCATATCCGTGCTACAGAGGTCACGATTTCGTACGACATCGCTTGTCAATATTGCCGGAAGATTAAGGAACGCCTGGCACGGATTCCGCACACGAGCGCCGTATGGGCTGGCGCGCAAACCTTTGCTGCACTCGTTGCGTCCAACAGCATCACATATGCGGTTCCAAAATTCCATCTATTCGCCCACAAGTTGTGGTGTCAGCTTCGCTTCGCTTTTGGATGGCTATTTGGCACAGCTATAACAGACGGGGAAGCAGTGGAGCGCTTGTGGTCTGCATTCAATGCGGCTGCATCTAGTTTACGGGAGATGGGTCCGGGTGGGAACAATGACACGCTGGATGATATGTTCGGTGCATGGAACTGGATGAAGACGTGTTGCATTGGTGAGCTCAGTTTGATTTCTCAGAATGGTTAGACTGACAATATCTGAGGGACTTCCCTACGGAACCGGATGGATCGAGCTCTGGATGAAGGCGGTATGCAAACCGATATTCACACCGAGTTCACAGAAGCACTCCAAGTACAATATCCCAACAGGATCGCAGAGGCGCAGGAAAGCATCTCAGCATGGGAGGCATGTGATCAGTCGAAGGTGCCTAATGCTCGCTGCCCTTATTACAGTAGGCAACAAGGTGAGGACTGCGACTTGAACGTATAATCAATGTGGCCTCGCCGTGTATTGGCTTTGTGTGCAATTCAATCATGCTTTGTATCGGAGCGTTATGCGTGAGCGCTCCATCATAGGAGCGATAATGTTCTGATTGCGATATTGATGATGTATTCATCCTAGGTGCCTCAATCGCACAAATCAACTCGGAAACCGAGAAAGAGATCGGCTCTGCGACGAACGAGGTGGCGCGTGGGCTTGCGAAAGAAGACGCGGTGCTAGCCGAATGTCTTCTTGACGGCCTTCGGATTGAGGATGAAAGGTTTGCATCCCACAGCACTCTGACGAAGCCCATAGGGGATACTGACGCGCCAATCAGGGCACGTATAACTGCGAGGCATGACAGTGAAGGCGAGACAGACAAACAGGCGACAACGAAAACCACTGTTCTCAAAGGCCTAGCGCTTACAATCACCAATTTTCGAGCTGTACAGGAGTACGCCATGCCCGCGACATATGCTCGCCTTTCCCCCAATGAACGCGACCCCGCCCACAAGACTGCCATGACCGTCGCGCTTGGCTTACCATCGGCTCCACTAGACGGCGACACATCTCTTGTCTCTGCGGCCGCCAAGACCATGGAAGCTAAATATCGTTGGGCGTTGATGAAGGACGAGCTTGACCGTCTACTGCATCAACTGCGCTGGAAGGGATGTCTCCATAAGCATAGAATAGCCCACGTGACGGGACAGCGAGCGTCTACGAGGTCGCTTTCCGCCCAAGCCGCCGTCAGCGCCAACGTCAAAAGGGCGGCAGATGCATACAGACGGCATCGCGCCGCCTATGAAGTCTTAGTTGGTGACGGCTCCTGGAAAGATGTCATGCGCGAGTTGAAGGATTCGGAGTGTCGTCCCCTTGGCGATAGACTCATTGAGCAGATGGAGAAGATGGCAGAGCGCAAGATTAAGAAGTTTCTCGAGGGGAAGTCGGTAGCCGATACGTCCGGCGAGACAAATTACAAGCTTCCATGGATCTGGTATAGCTGGGGTGGGAAGACCGGCGCCGAAATTACAGACCGTACGTGTCTCATCATTCGCATTCGCAACATTCAATGTTCAAGTTGTTGATTCATTCTGCGTAGAACTGATCACTGAGTGGGCCAAATCTCGTGCGCGCTCTCAACACTGGGTCCAGGAGATACAACTAGTCGACGCCGAGATGCAGCGCGCGATCGAGTTCAGCGAATCGATGGCGTTAATCTGGGATGCGCGACGAAATTATGAGAAGACTATCGATATCGGACCTGAGCAAAGTTGGGCTTGTGATGATGCATGGGCCGATGGTATGCGGGCATATGCGTCGAAGCAGGCGTTCATTAGGAGGGCGCACGCAGCGAAATGGACTCAGGAATTCGCGCAGCTGCGTATGGAAGCGAAAAGGTTTCTCACCGTTCACACAGACGATGGCCTTTCATTGGAGCCGCTGACGTTGCTGTCTGTCAGTGAGGTGGAGGATATGAGACTCCGTGCGCGTCTTAGGAGAGAAAGGCGGAATAAGCCCAAACGCGTCAAGCCTGATGACGAGGATCCGGACGTAGAAGTCGACGACGGCCTCTTGGACCTCTTCGAAGAGGATACGGCTTTACAGGAGGAATTAGATGCTTTAGCGTCTGGCTTTAAAGGTACTATCCACGCTGTCGATGGCGGTGCTAAAGGCAAGAAACCCAAGGAGAGTAGAGGAGGTGGAAAGAATCGGCGTAAGGGAGGGAAGTAGAACAGAATGCTCTTGTCCACGCTACCAGCATCACCTTGATTCGGATCGCTCAGTCTGCTTATGTATCAATGAAACGTACAGCAGCTGCATAAAGGCTACCCCGCACATTACGGCAGGAACTGCCTGTCGACACTTACTGAAGACAACAAGCTGCACTTTGGTAGGTTTGAAGTTAGAGGCAGAGGAAGGCTAGATCATTCATGTTGCGCGATAGCGTTGCGCACATTACAGCCCGGCAACAGGGCAGAACCGATCAAGAAGCATCATGCATCATGCATTAAGTACGTTTGAGAATCGACATGCCCGATCATGCGGTCACGGTCGGACGTTGGCATCATGAAAACCGTTTCCCGCCGGGTGAGACCTAGCGAGTGGCACGGTCGCTGAGATATGCTGATGGCGACTGGCCAGCGAGCTCCCGGCTAGCGAGTCGAGTCGCGGCGTGATGGTGGGCTCAGCGCTAGCCGCACGACTTGTGCGCGCTCAAGTCCAAGTATACGCTCCGGCCGAACAACATGACGTCGGAAACGCGATCACGTTGTTTGCCGTTGTTTGCATCTTCGCGTCCAAGACGCGTCAGATCTTCAGAGCGCGCTCGTCCGCCAATTCCGCGCTATCATCATCGCCCCACCCGCGTCCGCCCGCCTCCTTCATTCATCAGTTCCGCCCATCTTCCTTCAGCCACGACTCCCTCTACCATATTCCTCTCACCCCTGCCTTCATACACCCCTCTCCCTCCACCATATCTCCCTCCCCTCGCGGCTATATTCACATGGCACTGGCGTCCCATTCTTTCTAAACGCTGCACGCTCCTCCACTCCCATCTAGCTCGTCTATATCTCTCACCTCTCTCACATGTACCAACCGATGGGTCCGGTATGTGGCCGCACATTTCATCGCATTTCATCACTCACCATGACAACACACGTCGTTTACATTCTGGTCGCCCATGAGATCTTCGTGTTTAGTTTTACGGGCTGCATGTATGCCTGTAATTAACATACGAACAAAACATTATGCATTATGATTATCCCAGAATTATCGAGCGGACTGAATTCTGTCTGTACGAAAGGGAGCTCTGGGGAATCTCTAGCGAGCACCCTACCTGCAAGCCAGCACTCGCTAGCACAGCTTAGCAGCGTCTGCTAGTCCATTCTCATAATGATGCAGCGGCCGCGCGCTAGTGAGCAAGTCGCTCGCTGACAAGAGCTAGCGGCCGCTCTCCTGCGCTAACGTTCCTGCTGTGTGGGAACAACTTTTCATGATGCACTGAACGTGGCGGCGCTATTCGGATCCACGACCTTCACCACGACCACGACCATGGTTTGCATCCTCCTCTGTGCCGCCAGCCCTCCGGTGCTGGCGCCCTATCCACTCGCCTCAGCTGCTCTGCAGCCGAAGAGTGGCATGGGCCAACACAGACAGCTCATAGCACCGTAGTCCGGCGTCGAGGGTATCAAGACCATATGGGACTTGGAGAGCAGGGTCGCACCTCTCTGGTGAGTCTACATACACGTATTTGTTGCGCTTATTTACTTACGGACGCCACCAGGTATGGCTTGATGTTTGCGCACGGTATTTGATCTCAGGGGGCGTGATCGCGTACGCTTACATGCAGATATGTTTTGTTGCCGTCCGTCATTTCTCACTCCCTCGTGTTCAACGACACTCACAGGGTTTACATAGATGGCATGCTGTATGCATACGTCGACGAAATTGTACAATGCATGCCGCCGCTACGACATAGCAGAAGTACGCTGATATCGAGCTCGCCCTCGCACATTATTGCTCCAGACACCCGCCGCTGCACCCTCAGATCGGCGTAATCAGCACACTAGAGGTGTCAGTTTATCTGCCAGTGGGGTCGACCGGTCAGGCATGCGCGACAACATCTCCCTATAGCGCGTCTACAACTCTATAGCGCGTCTATCGGCCCAGTCGACTCTGAGTAGCGCACCTTGCTCAGGTTGGCGGGCATGCCGCACAAGGCGGACATCGCGGCCAGGTTTCATGGGCGTCATGCCATGAGTTTGTTCTCGGAAGACAATAACTTGGCTTGTTTAGCCGGCGATGGCGAGCGTACTCTCGGAGGCGGTATTGGCATCACACAGGAGCTTGTTGGGCACCTTACTAGACCTTACGCCGGCTTTATCGGCTCGAAAAAGCATGTGAGCTGTGTTGTCCTTGAACGCACGTCTTGAATGTACTCTAATCATCATTTATACTTGTACAAGGAGACTTCCTCCATGCTTTGCGGAGATCTACTATCCTTAGATCCATCGTCCTGCTGCTTCGCCTGCTTCAACAACTCATAGTGCGAGGCAAACAATGAGATTATGTCTGCATGGTCATCACCTTCAGTCTTGGTAGCAATTCATCGCCAGCGGTGTAATCTCTACCACCATCGCCTACACTACGTTTACTTGTTGCGTCTTACGCTATGCATTTGACGAGTTGACATGAGGGAGATTGCGTGACGGAGAGAAAGATCGTCGAGCGGCCTTGGTCTCCACAATGTTTCCATGCCGCATCAAAACATAGGAGGATGTTCCCTTCATAAACATCAAACCTCGGTGTCAGCAGCTACTTCATCTTTGGTTGGACCTTGGATTAACATGGCACTTAAATGGTGATTTTCCCGATGTTCGGTCAATGTTTTCGTTTGGTCACCAGGGATTGGTCGATTCCGCATAGGACTCGCTACGCCATTGCAGACAAGCC